CGCACTTAAAGAGACAAATGCCTTTACATATTTTCAAAAGTTGGCTTAATCGGACTTCAGTCCGTCTTGATTGCATCTTGGTTGCATTTACACTTAGCTTCAAATAGCTATGCAGTCTGCACAAAACATGTAAATGTGGTCAGAGGTGAGCGCATCAGTTTTAATGTTCTGTACTTCAACACCGCTTCTTCATTATGGCTGATTGGGGTTATGCTGCAGTAAATCTCATCCATAGCAACCATAGCAGTTACTAAATAACTACTGTTGGTTGCTTTCTCCACTCTGAGGAGGCCCAGAGGAATTTTGCAGTAAATTGGTCAGAACTAATGCAGGAAAGACACCAGGTGGGCTGAGTAACACAATCGCCTCTACAGTAGTTTCTGCTCGGAGCACTTTCTACCTGAGATGTATTCCGAGTGGAGCTTACGTCAGTTACCTGAGACCAAATTCCCAAATGTAGCTAGCGTTAACCTTGATGCTCATCCAAGAGGAAGCCAGCCAGCCATACACTGGCCCTCCTCTTCTCGCTGTGTGGCAGGTCGCACTGATGTTCTGTCTGACTGAGGAGCAAGATCCTTGGCCCCGTTTTTCTGCCACATTAGGCCACACTGAAGGTGGCACTCAGCTTCCCTACTGAGGAAAGAGAGTGTGTGACTGTTTGCGTATGTTAAGAAAAATTATAGGGGAAAATGTGTGAGAAATACAGGTCTATTTAGATATTAGCTCATATAAACAGAGATGGTGGAAGAGGTTTATTTGTTCCAAAGGGAACCGCAGCTGTAAATCACAACCTATTTTCCTTTTGTGTCAGGTGATGTAGATTATGTTGTCACTCCTGGCTCACAGGATGAGGAAATTATAGGCTCTGACTCACCGTTGGCTTCTTAGTCCTGGCACATCACTGCCCCCTATCACAAACCAGCATGAGAGAGGGAGAGAAACCTGACAATGTAGGAGGAGGAGGAGGAGGCAGGTTGGTTAAAGGGAAAAGAGAGGGAGAGTAATGAAAGGCGAGACCAGAATCTGAAGAGTCAGACTTAAAAAGATGGGATGAAAAGAAGAAGAAACGTGAATTGACAGAGAAGGGTGAAGGGGAAGAGAGGAGAGAGAACAAAAGGAGTGGAGGAAGAAGCAGGAGGGAGGGACAAAAAGCTGGGCCGTGTGCCAGGGTCTATTCCACCTTTGCTCTCCAGGCCTTTCTGAGCTGCCACCTTCTCTCACCTCTGTAATGGCATCAATGAAAAGGCCTTTAGGAGGGATGGAGGACTTGACTCACGGTTCAGACTGTGACCGACACCAGCTGACGCTGCCAAGCCAAGCAGGATTCTGTTAGAATTAATTGGATGTCACTTTCAGGTACAAGGAACAAGAATGGGGGTTTTTTTCTCCACATTTTTTTAACTCGTACTCCTACAGAATCAGAAAATTCTGCAACAATTTGGGCTGATGAAATTTAGTGAATCATCTCGAAACAAAGCTTTTCTCTCCAGTGGTTTTCTCTCCTTCCTAAAAAGTTGATTATCAGGAGATACAGGATTTTTACTTCACAGACACCCATTTTTAAGTTGGTGTGATTAATGAAAGATAAACTATTGATTTTGGTAACAACTTTGGTGATAGTGTTCTACACTCTATGAAATGTAAAAAAGTCTTCAGGTGTCTTGTTTTATCTTATCAATAGTCCATAACCCAAATATATAACATTTTAAATTATATAAAACAGAGATTATTATGTAGCAAGAAACACTATCCTTATATTTTGGATATAAATGAAAATGCTTACTTAGTAGCAGATTGGTATGAAGACTTTAAGAACAATACCTTTGGAGAAATTGAAACACACAATATCTCTTGATACACAGTATCAGGGGATGTATCAAAATATGGCAACCAGTTATAGATGCAATGGACCCATCTGGGCTAGACATTCTTCTACCTACAATCCTGGAACTGAGTACAGCCCAACTTCACTGACTTGTTTGTAGGATGTCAATCTAGTTTTAAACTATTTGTAAGCTAACATCAGCTTAATTAGCTAGCTACCTCCAGCTGCTTAAAGATATAACACTTCCACACTAAAATGTCTAAAAGTGCTTTGTTATATCTTTTGTTTTACATTATTATTCCAATAATGTTCAAACCCAGAGAGTCCTGTGATTTTATTCAGGTAATACTACATTACCACCTGTAGTTGCTAACCTCTGGTTAAATGCCGGATACATTGGATACGTCCGAGAGTGAGGAAGGAAGTCCGCGATCGAACGTAACATGAATAAAACTTAAATACATTACTTCGTCTGTGAACAATTACTGCCTGTGTATAGATTTTCATCAGCAATGGTGGTTGTTTAACAATAAAGACAACAACTCCCATCATCCCACACTACTCCATGCCATCATCAAACTACGTCTTTGTTATTGTTTTGACGTGAGAGACCCCTAAAGGCAGAAATTGCAAAGTCTGGTAGCGAGCGTTTTCATTTCAGCCGTCAGCTGGGATGAGAAGTCTGCTTCTGTTTACCCCTGTCTGAAATCAAGGAGCCACTGTTTCACAAATTCCAATGTAAACATTCGCAGTTCACAATGCTAAACACCGTTAGTATTGTACAGAGGAAATCTCTATCAGTCTGTGATAGACTATAGTAGAATAAACATTGAAATATTTCACATTGTGTCTTTGAAAATTTAAAACAATATTTCCTAAGATAAGTCACTTTTATGCTCATAACCATTTTGTCAGCTGTCACTTCTTGGTCAAACCTGCAACATGAGCTAGAGCACAGCAGACATGCTCTTAGTCGGGACTGATTATTCAAGCATAAAGTAAACAACACAAGATGAAAAGTCATGAAAAGAACTACATTGATGTCAGCTGTGACCTGTCATGTAACTGTTACAGAGCTTGATAAGGCATCACTCTTGAAACAAAGTGCTGAAAGTTATTCACTGTTGACTTTTCACGAAACCTCACCATTCTTTCTATGCTTCAGGCTGACACAAGTGTCAGAGCAACAATATGTGCATGTGCGTACACACACGGACCCACACACACCACCCACCACAGCACAAGCTGTGAGCACCTCAACCGCCAGTTCCAACTGTGAGAATATTTCACAGCCCTGATGAGGGCTATAATGTGCAATATGTTCACTAATTCAGTCACTCTCTCTCTCTTGCTGTCTGTTTTCACCCTTAATCTCTCTCCTCCTCTCTCACTCTATGCGTCCGTCACCGTGGCATCTGTTGATGTCCTTTTAGCTACTGGGGGCTCAATCTGTCCAAAAGGCCCACTCTGCTGCCACTCTGTTGCCATCTCCCGGTGATCCATTTATGCTCTACAGTTGATATGAATGCTGCTCGGAGACTAAGCCCTTAATTACCACTAGAGTAATGAGCATTGGAGGTTCTGAGAGGCATGGATAGGATCCACATGTCTTCGCAACATCTGTTGAAGGGAGTGGATTTAGTGGATGTCTGGTGAGAAGTGTTGATTTGGTTGGAGATATGGATAGGGGAAGTGGATAGATGAACGGAAGGATGGAGTTCTGCTCATACTTATAGTTTTACCTTCAATAAATCCTTAACAGTCTGCATTGTAGACTGTGAAAGACAGTGTATATGGTGTACGTATACATATAAAATGTATCTTCTTTTTTCTTGTTTACATTTTGTCTTGGTAAAGAGTAACTTAAAACCAGACTGTTTGATTGCCCTCCTAAGTTGAAAGTTTAAGTCAAAAGTAAGCATTATAGGTTGAGTCATCCTGACTTTTAGTCTATACTATAGGACAAGCTCCAAAAAAAAAAAAAATGCTGGTTTTCACCTTTCACATAAAGCAACTCAATAACATCTTTCTTTAGACGCCTGATTGCAATGTGGGCTTTCTGAGATTATTACATCATCATGGTTATTGTTTCAGATTTTGAAAAAAGAAAAATCCAAAGCAACAGAAGACATTATACAACTGTTGCTGAAATTAACTTAATGTGTGCCCCATTAATGCCAAGTCTGTTGCAAATTACTAACACCATAGCATCATTTATTTAGAAAGATATGCATAATAGATAGTAATAAATACAAATATACAGATAATGCAGTTTATGCAGTTTATGCCCCTTCAACCTAACCTTTAAAGTCCCCCTCCACTCAGAAATGTGTTTTTCTTCTTGTTCCTAGAGTGTGATGTTTGATCTTCACTGAGCAGAATGATGTATGTGCAGAGTTTT